TGTGGGGGTGGGGGGGTGTTGGTGGTGGGGGGGGGGGGGGGGGGTCCAGTGTGCTCCCTGGCAGACTCGGAAGTAGACCAGAAGTGCTTCTGCTCCGCTTCCGAGTTTGCTGCCGAGCACGCTGGGGAGCCCCCTGTGCTCCTCTGGGCTCCTCTCCGCTCCATCCGCCTGAGCAGCACAGCATTCACAAACTGTCTGCTACCTTGAGGTATGTAGAGAAGACATTTAAAGCTATGTCTACATCAGAATTGTCGAATCTTTCCGAATCTCTCTGAATCTATTCAGAGGGTTCCAATTTGATTCGGAGAGATTAAAGGGTCTGCTGATTTGATTTGGATTCGGAGGTTTGGCCACTGAATTGGGCCAAATCTCTGCTGAATCGAATCAGGGACCGAAGCTTCACGCAGCCCTAACGTAGCTAGATCCTTGTTCCTTTGTAAGTGGATGACTTAGACATGAATATGCCAAGTGCTGAGCCCTCTGGCTCAGATCCAGGAAAGCACACAAACTAGTTAACTTCATGTGAAAAAAATTAACACATGCTCAAGTTAGGCTTTGCTGGACTGGGAGCAAACAGCAAGGGAGCTTGCCTTTAAAATATGGCAAAAAGGTGTAATGTAGGTATTCATTAACATTTTATTTCACTCAGTTTTACTGGAAATTTTTCCACTCTGCACATTTGATAAGAGAAAGCTGCAGAAAATCTTGTTGATAAATCTGTTATTCTTTGCCTACTAGGTAAGTGACTGTAAATTTTCTTAACTAACTCTTTTTCTCCACAACCTGTGCCAGCTTCAACTCTGTGCAACCCCACTGCAAACATTCATTTGCTTCCTGCTGTACAACAGCAACCCTTTCTGCTATGCTTTTCCAGCTCAGGGACAATTTTTCATTTTATTTCCATTTAAAAGACACCTTGTGAGATGCATGGCATCATAACACCCTGAATTTAGGTTTTCTAATTAGAAATGGAAAATTGAAAGTGCTAAGTCATTGCAGAAAGGGATGCTGTGAACTAGGAATCAGAATGAAAGTGTTGATGCTGGTGTAAAATCCAGCAGCTTTGTGTGAGATGGAGATACTCAAAGTTTAACGGTGAAATAAGAAACCTGGAAGCATCTGGCACTAGGGATTATAAATGCAACTGCTTTTTTTCATGATTGTTGAGAGTGTGGCTACGTGATTCAAGGATGATTTGCTTGTTCAATACAAGGTAAATGACTACATTTAAAAAAGGAAATGCAAAACTCTAAAACTCGTGGTTCAGAGATGATTATTTTATTAGACCAACTAAGAAATTGCAAAAAACCTCTTTCTTTGCAAGCTTTTGGGCACATGTGCCGTTCTTCAGGCTGAGGGAAAATTAAAGGTGGTGAAAGTTCCCATAGGTGGAAAATAAACAGCCCTTAAAACATAGACGGGAAGGGGAGACTGGAGGAGGCTGGAGGAACGAGGAGGGGACCATACGGGGAACCCTTGCCAGACCCCATCCCCTGCCTGCTCCCCCAGGCCCCCTGAACACCCCCAAGTCGCCACCCACTCCCCCAGGCCCCCATGGTTGCCCCACCCGGTCCCAGCTCCTGGCCCTTTAAAAAAAAGCCCCACTCACTGCTGCTGCCCAGCAGGGGGGTGATCCCCGCTGCCCTCCGCTGCCCCCTGATGCATGGGGGGCTCTGCCATGAGCTCCCCAACCCCCACCCACTCACACAGCCCCCTCCATGGCTGTGCCGCCTGCCCCAGCTCTGGCCCATTAAGAAAAAAAGCAAACCCTCCACCTAGGCTCACTGGCTGCTGCAGTCCCCTTGAAGCTTCTGGGGGCTCATGGCAGAGCCTCCCACACAGCACGGGGCAGCGAGGGACATCAGGATCACCTCCCCACCAGGCAGCAGCTGGTGAGTCAGGGCTTTTTTTTTTTAAAGGGGTGGAGCTGGGGCGAGCAGGATAGCCATGAAGGGGCTGGGAGAGTGGGCGGGGGTTGTGAGGCTCATGGCAGAGCCCCCCATGTGACATGGGGCAGTGGGGATTGCCCCCCACCAGGCAGGAGCTGGTGAGTGCAGGCTTTTTTTCCCCCAAAGAACTGGGGCAGGCGGGGCAGCCATTGAGAGCGGGCGGGGGATGGGGCCTGCGTGAATCGGAGATTTGGCTGATTTGGCAGCAGCTGAATCTCTGAATCAGATTTGGCTGAATTGATTCGGGACACTGATTTGAATCACCAAATCAAATCAATGTCCCCCAAATCGTCTGAATCCAAATCCACAGACCTATTTTCCAGGTATTTTTTTCTCATTTACTGGTAGCTTCTCTAACTTCTGCCAGTGTAATGGCTCCAAGAATCAGTATCGAGCTCTGCTGGTAGGTCTTCATCATATATTTCTAGAGGTTTGTTTGGAGGCTGGTCTATTTAAGAAAATGTTCTACCTGTTGTTTTTGTCCTCCTGATCTATGAGTTTTTCCATTTGTGTCTTTGATGCAGCCTCCAGAACTGCTTCCATTTTCTATTAGCTGTTTGATTGTTTTTATCCAAAGTAGTTTGGTCACTTCATGTTTTCTGTCACTCATTTTAAGCTCTCTGCCTAGAGCTTTGCATTAGTCTTATTAGATATTTCTGTTTACTGTACTACCAATCTCATCTAATGCCAACCCTCTTCCCCCCCAATAACTTTTTGGTTACTACCAACTTAGGTTAGTTTTGAATCAGTACAGTGAGACTACACAGTACAATGGAACTGCCAGAAACAATTCAGTACCTCATCTTTGTCTTTAATGCTCTGGGTCTTTAATGCTCTTCTCATAAGCATTTTGGGTTATTTTTCCAGTTGAATTCCCACAATCTAAATGGAGAGCAGTTGTCAGCTCCTGATTTTAGCTTTTTAAATGCAAAATGAAATAGAAATCAGCTAGCCCAGACACCTTTCAAGTGCTATTGAGAGAAACGGACAGGCTAAATGGTGCACGTAGTATTTTTCCTTAAAGTTTAGTTGTTGCACTTGGCTGTATTTGAGAAGCAGCTGGGCTGATTTCAAGCTTTACTTTGATATGTCAGAAGCAAAGTCTGGAGCTTTTAAATAGCTTCTAATATTGTTACTCTATCAGAAAGTAAAACTTAAAAGTGGCCCAGATGCCTCTAAAGTGCTGTTTAGTGTTTGGGTCCTAGGAATATACAAAAGCATACGGGGAAAAAACTTTTAAGTATGTCAGTCTTCCTACAATCCATGCTTCAAAGAAAATTAGAAGGTAAATGGCTAATCTATTATAAGGGGTAATCTATTATAAAAACAAAAATGGGTGTGACATTTATCAAAGAGATCATCCCAAAGCAGAAGTAGATTTACTTGTGCTTGATTCTGATCTCGCAATATTTATTGCTGTCATAACTCCATTCATTGCAATGGAGTTAGTCCTTAGCCAGCACAAAGTGAGCTTGAATTCAAACTGCTAGGCACCTACTCTGAACACTGTAAAAATATAAGCATGGGTAATGTTCAAACTTATTTTCCCCCAGTATGTGCAATGCAAGATTTAGGAACAGGTGACCTTTTTAATGTTTTTAGTTGCTATTTTCTGATGATGCTTCAAAAGCAGATGGCCACATTCAAGTTCCATTTAATCACAAAAGGCTTTTCACAGAAAATAAAATCTGAAATGGACCTGGCAGGTTGCTGAATGCAGCGGTTCCAGTTTGATGGCATGGCAAAGAAAGGACTAAAAAGGGTACAATGAAGTTCACACAACAAAACCCTGTGGGATTAGCTTCCTGCTTTATAAATAGGGATATACTTAATTCATGGTGTTGCAGATTTTGTGGAAACCATGAAATCCATGAAATCAATGACAAAAGAACTTAATAAAAATAAAATGTTGGCTCTCCAGTGGGAGCCAGCAGTCCTTGGTGCCAGGAGGGGAAGGTGCCAGCTGGCAGGGTGGCACGACGGGCAGCAGACAAAATGGTGGTTACCTCATCATCCCTCCTCCCTCCCCTCCCCAAGGTCTCTCCACCAATCGGCACCGAGGGGTGGGGCCACATGAAAGGCAGCCAACAGTCAAGACGGTGGCTGCCCCTCATCCCTCCTCCCTCCCAGGGGCCTCTCTGCCAATCTGCACTGAGGGGCAGGGCCTCTCCAACAGTCAGCACCAAGGGGCATGGCTGCTGCAAAATGACCATTAGAGTTAGACCATGATCAACCTGCAAAAATTGGTAAGTCCCCCTGCAATTTAGGGAGACCCCTATTCATAAAGCATGCCACATACACTGTTTTTATGCTTTGTACAATAAAATGCAGGTGACTTTTATTAGGAAAAAGTCCAGCATGCCTCCATCACACGCCTGTTGCACTTTTGAATTTGATCAGTACAAAAATCTGAGGAATCTAGTGAAAAGTTAAAAAAGTGAAAAAGGCTACATATTTAAAAACAATGAGGTTATACATTTTGTTTTGGCTCAAAAGGATTTATTTTTGAATTTTTTGTCTGTTTGTTTATGGCCAAAAACATGAAAAACAAGCATTTTGAATGGACTCCACCCAACTTCTTATTTTTTCTTGTCTGGCCACCAACTCTAGCACAAACTCCTTCTATTCACTTGAATGTGCAGTTATTTTGTTGTGTGGACAAATGTCTCAAACAGTGTTTTTATTATGTGTAAATCAAGTCCTCTCTCCACTTGTACCTGTGCATGGACATGCCGGAATACTTTTTTTATCACATAGTGAGGATACCACTCTTTGCTTTATTCTGAAGACTATTCTGCTGTTTTATGATAGCGGTTTCAAAGTATTTACCTCTGCTTGGCACCTGGAAGCCATGAGACTATTTTAAAATTGCTCTCTTACTGCACTAGGTACATAACTTACATCATTCCTTGCTCTTCAGATATGACTGACTGTTCCAACTTCTCTCTACTCTGGAACACCATCACCAAGAAGGTCTGATTGACACCCTCTTCACTCTCAGGAGAGACAAGGAGATCCAAGTTTTTGAATTTTGCCCAGTGCAATTAGTGGATACATTAGCAAAAATCAGTGCTAGGAAAAAGGATATGAAGGTCCAATATAGTTAATTAAAGTTCACAAAACTGTTGACAAGTTACCCCTCTCCAGGAGTTGAGCCAACTTGTCACTTGGATCATTTCAGAGCCCATGAATCGCTGGACAGCAAGATTTCTAAAAAAAAAGGAGATATTGCAATAGACAGTCTGTATTTTACAGGTCAAAGGTTGTAGAAGATTTAGGCATAAAATAAACAGTTTATTTTAAAGAACATATACATCAACAAAGCAGCAGAATCTGTCAGTATGTCCAAGGATTGGCTGTTTTCACAGTAGTGTGCGTGAAATCCTTATCAGATTGGTTTAGTCTCATGTGCTAATTGGGAAATTGTCAAATGTAGAACCTGGTCCTATACCCATAAAAACTATCTTTAATTTCTATTAAATTCATTTAATACAAAGAATGCATTTGTTGTCGCACTTGTTGTGGTTCTGAGAGATGAAGGTGTTGATCGCCTTGCAGGACTGAGCGTGTATGCCTTAATCACACAATTTTTGTGCATGGTCCCTCTCCTCTCTCATCTGGAGTTACTTTGCAGATGAAGAAGTCTACTACAGACCTTCAACTGCAGGATTCGGGGCTTCAAGCAGGAAGTCAATAGTTTCTCCTTAATAATCACCTTAATAATTTTGAACTAGTTGGTTCTTGCATTGTGTAGTCTCTTATAAACTGATTATAATATATTTAAAAAGAATGAAGAACCCTAACTGAACCTGGGGTGAATTATGTTTGGGTTAATTTTTCAGATTTTTCGTACTCCAAGTCAGGTCTCTTCTTCAGCTTTTGTCTCATGAAACCCCTACATTGAGTAAACATTTTTGTTCTTTGATTTAGGGTGAGTGTATATAATGATCTAGCTGTGTTATTTAAATAGCAATAAATAAAATCACCTTATGATTTTAAGATAAATAATTCTGCACCTTAAAATTGTTCAATATGGTGATCCAGTGGCTTAACAAACCTAACATTTTCTTATTTTTTAAATCTCATTTAAAATGGGCCAAACTCTACTCAGTTCAGTAGGTCCCATCTAGGACCTGACATTTTTCTTGTATGCATCTCCATTTAGTAATTAAAATAAGTCCTCTCACAATATGGCAGGGACGATCTAAGAGCCAGGGGCACAGGCAGCATCATGGGACATAACGATATGTCAAGCACCTTGTGTCAAGCACATTGAAAAAATGACAGATGCTCCCCTGGTGCCAGAAAGCCTAAAATCCCCCCTAATTACTTCTAGTGCAATGATATTTTCTTTTATAGGGAAGCCTAGATTGTGATGTGCAGTCCTGTGGTTCCCATGTAATTTCTCTGAGGAGTCAGGTGTCTTACCATGCACTGGTATGAGAGTGCCTGCACTGTCCTTGCTTGTCAAAGCAAGGAGCCCATGTAAAAGGTTACATAATTTTTCCTTCTCTTCTACCCCCACTTTCTATTTCTGAACCTTTTCTCTCTAATATATTATTAATTGACCACTTATTTCTATAGTGCCATAAAGACAGTGCTGCTCACTTCCTCAAAGAACTTCTGGCCTACATAGCAAGGAAAAAAACCCACCAGATTTTCCTTATCTCTATGAATAGATACCCAGCTTCAGGCTTGACCCGGGCTGGTGAGTGTGGATATGTAAGAGCAGGAAGCTGTGGATTCTCTCTGTGCAGGCCTGTTATGGTGAGGTGACTGGAGTTTTGTGGAGGAAGAGCTTGCAGAGGCCTTCCCTGCCTGGGTTTGCCAGCACAAGTGGCATGTTCTTTGTGTCTGATCCTGCAGCTCTGAAGTCAGTATGAGGTTTGGCATTGACTTCATGGGAAGTAAGATTGACCCCTTTGCATTCTTGCGATGCAGCATGTAACAGGTTACAGCAGCATTTGGCCTTTTTCTCTTTTTCAAGTTCTATTGTAGAGGCCTCATAAATTTCTGAGAAAGATCTGTTGGATGAACCTGAATATAAGCTTTAGAATTTGCCTAAAGCTGTGTGCAAAATGACTTAGTAGACTTGTTAAATCCAACATTATCAAAATTCTGCTAAGTGGCCTCGCCTCATCACTGAACAGCTTTAGTCTGTTGCAGAGAAAAGCCACTCATATGATTAGAGGTCTGAAGAGCAAGCCATGCAAGGAAAGGCTCACAGATATGGGACTGTTCAGTCTAGAAAAGAGAAGACTTGGGGGCAGAGGTGGGATTTGGTGGCAGCGCACAAATATATCAGGGGAAAGCATCAGAGCTAGGCAAACAACTATTCACCAAAGTGCCCGGGGGAAAATCAGGAGCAATGGTCATAAACACCTAGAAGGTTTCAGACTAGATATAAGGAAAAACTTCATGGTTCATGTGACCAGACTCTGGAACAGATTCCCAGCAGGGGTGGTGCAGGCACTCCCTGACTGGACAAGACCAGGATGATGTCATGTGGAGGGATATAAGGTGAGCTCGGCTGGTTTGGGGTGGAGAAGCTGCTAGGGGTTGCTGAGAAGTAAAGTCTCCTCCAAGGGAGAAGGAATTTGCAGATAGTGAAAGGGGAAACTCAGGTAGAGAGGAAAGAGAGGGAGAATTGTCCCAGTGTCTGGAAACTCCTCTCTGCTCTTTTCTTCCCCCTTTTCTGAAGTTGTAAGGGATTACTACTGGGGAGGAGGGTATTGGTTCCTTGGGTTGGCTGGCTAGAAATTAGGCCGAGCAGTTTTAAACAGCATTGAAACCTGGGTGTTTCTAATCCTACCAGTTTTGGACCAGGGTTTTAATTTGCAACTTCCTGCTCCCAAAGAAGCTGTGTGACCCAAACCACCTGCAGTCCAGGCCTAGAGGGTAGGCCTGTCTTTTCACCTTCTGCAGTCATCCCCTGCTCCTCCCTCCCCCCTACAGCCTCTCCATGAGAGCAAAGATTGGCACTCTACCACTTCTCCAGGAGCAACAGAGCCCCTTGAAATGCAGAAGGACCCATGCTCTTGAACAGCTCCCTGAAGCACAATGAACACAAGGAGCAGTTCATAGGACTCTCTGGTGTCAACCCCTCCTCCAGTCCATTGCTGAAGGGCAGGTATAGGGGTGCAGGCCCCTGGAACTACCTGTTGGGGAGTCCCAAGTCCCAGACTGCTGGGAAATGGGTGAAGCCTCCCCCAAGAGGGTGCCACCTATAGACTTTGTTTTGTAGTTAATAATGTTTTAAAATTATATTTAGTGTTTTCTTTTGTTTTTTGTTTTTATTCTCTGTAACAAATTTGGGGGGTTGTGTTTACATGCTTGCAAAGAGGGGGGTTTGTTTATACAGGGTGCCCCAACAAATTTAGTGTTTCCAGATTTCTTGGTGGGGGCTCAAACCACTGGTATAATTTATGGGATACCTGGAAATGTGAACTTGGTCCTTCCTGCTGCTGAGTGGTGCATGGCAGAAGGGTTACATGTGTAACCACACTGAAGATTTGGAGTACTGGTTTAGTACTGAAAATCAGGAAAATCAATCCAAACATAATTCACTGCAAGTTCAACCACTTTTCTAGTTTTTTAATAGATTTTAAAACTTCAATTTGTATAAGGATTCTAATCAGTTTGCAAGAGACTACACAATGCAAAAACAAACTAGTGCAAAATTATTAAGGTCATTATTAAGGCCAGTTGTTTTTAGGAAACCTCTCCATCTGCAAAGACTCACTCCAGGTGAGAGAGGAGAGGCACTGTGCACTAAAACTGTGGGGTTAAGGCTCAGTCCTGCAAAGCGATGAACACCTTCACTTCTCTCAGCACTGAAGTTTGGTTACTAGTTACAGAAGGACTTCAAGAACACCAAAATCAGAACTGACTTTTGAAAATCTACACTTTTTACTACTGTCTGTTAGACCTCATTTTGGACCAAACATGCAGGGGCTCTTTCTGCCTGACAGCAGAAAGGCTTGCCATACATAGCCTTTACCACAGCAGTCAGTCCATATGGTATTTACAGGATGGAAAGGAGGCTCAGTTTTGGCATTAGCCCCACACTATAGTAATCTATAGAGAGGGATAGCATACTTCTCTCCTCCACTCTAATAAATGAAGCAGTTTATGCACAGTGCACCTTAGAGAGAGTACCTGCTTCAGGCACAGTCTTACAAGTGCTCCTCCTAGCTTGATGCAGCATTGCACCACCTCCTACATAGGCATGTAGCCAAAGTACCACATATGATCTCTTTATTAGTAATATTCACATGAACATACAAGTAACACTTTTCAGTAGGCATTTTAGATTCGTTCACTTAAGTTACAGATCTCATGCTATTGTATCTATGCTTTATACCAGGGGTTGTCAGCTGGGGTACTTGAGAAGGTGCTAGGGGGTATGCATAGGCCTGCAGGGACAGAGCACCACCATGCACCATCCCACATTGCCGTGCAGGTACCACCCACCCAGCTGGATGTTGGGGGTGTGGGAAGCTTGCATGCATCAGCTGCCGCTGCTCTGCATCCAGCTGTCCGCTACCCCCCTCTCCCTGCCTGACCTCCCCATTCAACTTCCGGCCATGTGCACCCCGCCTCCCCCACCTTGGTGACCGGGGGTACACTGCTCCACATCCAGCCACTGGTGGGGTACAATGATCCAAAAAGTTTGAAAACCCCTGCTTTATACATTAGTGCAAAGCAGGATTTTTTTTTCTGCCTGTTTGAATAGGCAGAGATCAAGTTTGCTTGGATACACCTCCTGACTCTCATTTAAATCAATAAGAATTGCTATGATCAAGCTCTTCCTCATGTACCTCCCTCAGTGATGGCCTGATGGAACCATATTGAGATGTGAAAGAACAGTTTAGTCTCATTCAATTGCTGACCTCTTTTCTGAAACTGGAGCCAAGCGAGGCAGTGTTTGTTTGCGTGGAGGTACATCCACCAGGACCTGGATTCAGAACACATGGGCCATTGAACTGCCCTCAGATGGTTTCCGTACTAAAGAAAATATCTGTATTAGTTGGCCTGCCCAACCACTCACCATATCATGCAGCAATATTATTCTAAGACAGACTTAGTCTTCCTGAGATGAATGGTTTTCTTTGCTTTCCCTAGACAAAACTGCAGTCAACAGAATATGTAATGGATTCCAGACTCCTTTAGCTATAATAATATTATGACTATACATGGCTCCCTTTGTC